GTCCCTCTGGCTGTGCTCCCTGCCTGCTCCTGGAGGGTGCAGATGAGAGGACCGGGCTGTGGTGGTGGTAGAGAGAATCCCCCTACTCAGGCTGCTGGATACCGGCCCTGAGGTTCCCTCCCTCTGCAGCTCCCCAGCCTGTTTCCTATGTGCCCTAAATCAGGGGTCTCAAATTCCTGGCCCGTTGTGCAATATAGCCCAGGACTACCAGTGGGCGGGGATGAGGGGCATGACTGTCCGTTACCAGATTCCCAGTCCCGCCCCTTCCTGACATTGCCCCGCCCTCTCCCCCCCCAAAGACAACCCATTTCTCAGGATGCAGCTTCGGGATCCTCAGGGACCTGGCCTGGAGGAGCCTTGGGGGAAGTGGAACGTTCTTCTTCCCCGCAGTTCCTGCCGCTGTGGGGCGGGGGTCCAATTGCTGTCACCGTGTGGGTCCTTCAATGATCCCTGAAGCTGCGTCCTTGGGGATGGGATGCCATGAGAGGGTGGGGCAATGGCATGAAGGGGCAGGACTTGGGGGCTAGTAACGGACAGCTCCTCCCTCTCACCTAGCCCGGGCCAGATTGCATGCTCGCTCCAGGGGGAATGGGCTAGGAGCCGGGAGTTTGAGACCCCTGCTGTAAATTCTGGACTGGATTCAGCAGTCACGGAAGGGATGTCTTTTTCCTTCTCCCATCCCTCCCTGCTGTTGCTCCTTAGGAAGTTCATCTGCGCTGCCTGTTCCGTCCCCGAGCCGGAAGAGAGGTTTCAGGTGGACGAGTACTCGGAGATGGTGGCTGTGGCCAAGCCAGTCATCTACATCACGGTGGCGGAGCTTCTCGACACCCACCAGGTCTGGGGCGATGGGCCGGAAAGGGGGGGTGGTGTCTGCCTCACGGCTGGGGGGGGGAGGAGGGCTCATGCTGGCGCCCAACTGCATTAAGGGCTCACACCTTGGACCCTCAGATCAACAGTCTGATGTAGAGCCTGGCACCCAAGCTGATCAGCTTCTGCTGCAAGTGCTGGGGTTGGGGCAGCACATCC